CTAAAACAGTAAAAGTATTCTTTGCTAATTCCGCAGTTCATTTACAAAACTGTATGTTGAAATTTCTTTAATAAATAAATAAATAATAACAATAAATTGTTGAATACAGGCGAAATTAAAATTCATAAATAATAACACTAAATTGTTGAATACAGGCGGAATTAAAAATGCCCTTCAAAAAAGGAAAAAATGTTAAACAAACAAAAATTACTGATACAATGGGAATTGAGACCAAAGAAGCACAGGCTAGTCCTAAACTAAAGCAGGATATAAATTTGCAAGAAAAGTAAGTTAAAGTGAATTAATAAAAGAAATGCTAAAATAATTTATTTATTTCAGATTCAGACCCCGTGAAGAATCAAAAATACGATCAGTCTTTCCAGTTACGATCAATAAGTTCTGTTCGTTAAATGCGGTTTTTTCTTTCTTTAAAGTTTCAAAGAATATTTCATTTATTTATCTCTAATATTACTTATCATATAAAACATATTTTTAAATGTAATTAGAACAAAACTCAAACAAATTTACTGCACAACACGAAACACAACCGAACACGACGGATGCCCGTACAACAAGAAGATTTTAGGTATGAACATCACGCGTGAGGGTGATTGTATTAGAATCGATCAATCAGATTATATAGAAAATATTCTTAAAAGATTTGGCATGCTAGATTGTAATTCATCAGCAACTCCAGTCGACTACAATCAAAAACTTTGCTCTGATATGTCACCAAAAGACAATGAACAAAAACAACAAATGGATCAGATTCCATACATGCAAGCTGTTGGCTGTTTACTATATGCTGCTCAAATTACGAGACCTGATATAAGTTATGCAGTCAATCTTCTAAGTAGATATAATTCAAATCCAGGAAAGGCTCATTGGGAAGCAGTAAAGCGTGTGATGCGTTATCTCAAGGGAACCACGAAAATTGGACTCGTATACAAAAAGGAAAAGGATAGTGTAATATTAGGTTACTGCGACGCAGACTGGGCCGGTGATGTAGATAATCGACGCTCAACAACCGGTTACGTTTTTACCTTTCAATCTGGTGCCATATCCTGGGCTACTAAACGTCAAAAGACAGTTGCGTTGTCTTCAACGGAAGCGGAGTATATGTCACTTGTCGCCGCTATACAAGAATCTATTTGGCTTAAACGACTTGAATCTGAACTTGTATTTGGCAATACAAACCACATAGTCATATACTGCGATAATAAAGGCGCAATTCAAGTAGCAACAAACAATTCACACTCAAATCGAACCAAACATGTAGACATAAAGGCAAAGTTTGTTCGTCAGAAGATAGAATCAAAGGAGATTGAAATAAAATATTTGCCAACAAACCAAATGATTGCAGACATATTAACAAAAGCTGTTACGAGACAAACGCTGAATTTTCTGATGAATGGTTTTGGTCTCGAATGAATTTATGGTTTAATAATATTGTAAACAACATGCATGAGCAAGACAGGAATTATTTGTTCAGGAAAGGTGTTATAAATGTTATAAATAATAAGAACAAATAAGTTGATACTGGCAATACTATTCTTTCTCATGCATCTTGTGCATTTCGTTTTCATATACCTTCTTTATTTTTAGTCTTAATAAACGATTCAACTTAACAAATGCGAACCAGCTTGAAATATATGAACCCATTATAATTAAAGCCGGTGGAGCTACAAAAGATCTAAAATTTTCTGTGCCAAAATCTTTTTTACTTAAAAGTAACGTAGTTGTTTTGCAATATGTGCCCTCTACCCCATCGCAAGGTACGCAAACGATTAATGTCATTGAGAGTAAGTTTTTATAAGTTCTTCGTTATTTTTCCTTATATTTATTTGCAATTTTTGTAGACTATTTAGAAACTAATAAGTGTTTTAAAAGTATTTTAAAGAAAATAAAAATATTAGAAAAGTAAGAAACATTATATTGAAAAAATGTATAGAAGTCACTAAAACCACTAATAATGCTTCCTGGTTTGAGGAAGCGCATAAATGCTATTTACAAAGGATTGAAATGTTAAAATTGGAAAAGTCAGAAAAAGGAAAAAATCAGATTTGAGACATAAATAAATTTGTAATGTGTTTTTACACTACAATTCATAACAATATCAAACAGGTAATTTTGTTTCATATGCTATTAAATTCAAAAACTTATCAAATGTACACAATTTTGACTTCGTCACTGAAATGCTGTTTGATCGTTTGAACATTTTACAGCGAACAAACATACAAACATGCGTATAATGTAATACAGAGGGTTGCATGTATGATTGAATACGAATGCAGTCGGGCTTTTGTCAGCCTTACTCGACTCACATATAGGTTTGAACTGGTCATCATACCAGTTGTGACTCGATCGAACATTGTTGCATGAGGTTGGGTAGATTTATTATAAATCCACCAGCAAAATAAAGTGGGTATTTCGTTTGTATGAGCGTGGCACTTCTTTGTACTATAGATTCTTTGCTTTAATCATAAACAAAACCATTAACCGCTGTACAAAATCATGTGTATTCATATTAAGAAACAAAGAATACTTGTACAAGAACGGCAACTTAAATGTAAACAAAAAAAACCAACCAATACACTCTCAAAATAATTTACTACTACCAAACCAAGCACGTTGTTTTGTTGTTGCAATTCGACCCACCACGACTGAAAAGTTTCACCACCCCGAACGGAACGTTTCACCACCACGAACGGTCTTAATTTTTTTTATTACGAAAGAACAATATGAAGAGCGCAAATTGGGTTTTGTTTAGTTATTTTGACAGGAGAAATGCGCCAAAAACTGAAAAACGTAGCCAAATCAAACTGAGTTATAAAAAGTAGTGAATAAGTTTCTTTGAAAAAATAATTATATTTATTATAATTGTTATTATAGTAAATTATTATATATTATTATTAATATTTGAAGATGGTGCGAAATTGCGTGATGGGATGTAAGTTATTTAAGGGAATGTATGAATTTCCTAAAAATGACGAAAGAAGGTAAAAAAACAATAATTTATTAATTGTGGATTTAAAATATATGTTTTGTGTTTAATGTGATTTGTTTGTTTTGATGTGTATAAATACAAATTAGTAAAGCAAAAATATATGTGAGTATATATTTAATATATTTTAATAAAGTTGTGCTATGTGTTAATTTGTGTTTGTTAAATATGTGAAAAATCCAATAAGAAATAAAAAAAAAAACAAAAATTGTAAACAATTTTTTGGTGGTAAAAAGAGTGGAGTATGTAAATTATATTTGTATATTAAAATATTCATATTCAAATGTATGAATAGTTTAAAGACTTTTAATATTATTTAATTTATTATTAATTTAATTCAACAATTTTATTTTTAATAAAATACTTTTATGCAATAAAATAACTTTTAATATGTTTTCTAATTAACAAATTTTACTATTTCATTTGTTCATGTTAAAAACACTGAATTGAATTAAATCGTATATTTCTTGGGACTGCTTGAAATTAGAAAATATAAATTTTTGACAATTTTTGTCAAAAATTGAGGTTGCTTATTTTGCGTTATTAATATTTTGTATTTTGTTGTTTTCTGTTTTCTGTTTTATTTTCAACAGTTTCAATAATTGAATTGCCTTAATATAACAGTATTCTAAAACAGTAAAAGTATTCTTTGCTAATTCCGCAGTTCATTTACAAAACTGTATGTTGAAATTTCTTTAATTTTAGCGGGAAATTCATAAATAATAACACTAAATTGTTGAATACAGGCGAAATTAAAATTCATAAATAATAACACTAAATTGTTGAATACAGGCGGAATTAAAAATGCCCTTCAAAAAAGGAAAAAATGTTAAACAAACAAAAATTACTGATACAATGGGAATTGAGACCAAAGAAGCACAGGCTAGTCCTAAACTAAAGCAGGATATAAATTTGCAAGAAAAGTAAGTTAAAGTGAATTAATAAAAGAAATGCTAAAATAATTTATTTATTTCAGATTCAGACCCCGTGAAGAATCAAAAATACGATCAGTCTTTCCAGTTACGATCAATGAGTTCTGTTCGTTAAATGCGGTTTTTTCTTTCTTTAAAGTTTCAAAGAATATTTCATTTATTTATCTCTAATATTACTTATCATATACAACATATTTTTAAATGTAATTAGAACAAAACTCAAACAAATTTACTGCACAACACGAAACACAACCGAACACGACGGATGCTCGTACAACAAGAAGATTTTAGGTATGAACATCACGCGTGAGGGTGATTGTATTAGAATCGATCAATCAGATTATATAGAAAATATTCTTAAAAGATTTGGCATGCTAGATTGTAATTCATCAGCAACTCCAGTCGACTACAATCAAAAACTTTGCTCTGATATGTCACCAAAAGACAATGAACAAAAACAACAAATGGATCAGATTCCATACATGCAAGCTGTTGGCTGTTTACTATATGCTGCTCAAATTACGAGACCTGATATAAGTTATGCAGTCAATCTTCTAAGTAGATATAATTCAAATCCAGGAAAGGCTCATTGGGAAGCAGTAAAGCGTGTGATGCGTTATCTCAAGGGAACCACGAAAATTGGACTCGTATACAAAAAGGAAAAGGATAGTGTAATATTAGGTTACTGCGACGCAGACTGGGCCGGTGATGTAGATAATCGACGCTCAACAACCGGTTACGTTTTTACCTTTCAATCTGGTGCCATATCCTGGGCTACTAAACGTCAAAAGACAGTTGCGTTGTCTTCAACGGAAGCGGAGTATATGTCACTTGTCGCCGCTATAAAAGAATCTATTTGGCTTAAACGACTTGAATCTGAACTTGTATTTGGCAATACAAACCACATAGTCATATACTGCGATAATAAAGGCGCAATTCAAGTAGCAACAAACAATTCACACTCAAATCGAACCAAACATGTAGACATAAAGGCAAAGTTTGTTCGTCAGAAGATAGAATCAAAGGAGATTGAAATAAAATATTTGCCAACAAACCAAATGATTGCAGACATATTAACAAAAGCTGTTACGAGACAAACGCTGAATTTTCTGATGAATGGTTTTGGTCTCGAATGAATTTATGGTTTAATAAAATTGTAAACAACATGCATGAGCAAGACAGGAATTATTTGTTCAGGAAAGGTGTTATAAATGTTATAAATAATAAGAACAAATAAGTTGATACTGGCAATACTATTCTTTCTCATGCATCTTGTGCATTTCGTTTTCATATACCTTCTTTATTTTTAGTCTTAATAAACGATTCAACTTAACAAATGCGAACCAGCTTGAAATATATGAACCCATTATAATTAAAGCCGGTGGAGCTACAAAAGATCTAAAATTTTCTGTGCCAAAATCTTTTTTACTTAAAAGTAACGTAGTTG